CAGTTTTTGCTTTAAATTGAAGTGTTAGACATACAGATTTTTTTTTGTACTCTGAATAAAAAACAACATTACATATAATCCATGTTCGCAGGCTACTTTGGACTTTTCTGGTACTTTGTTATTGAAGAAACTAATGGTCTTCGAAAAAATATAGTATGCAACACGTCAATAAATTGCTTCAAACTTGTTGGATATTATACTAGAGAATTTCGGTTTTATGACCCATCTTTTATTTTCTTCAATTCCTAACAATAAGAGAGGTAACTCGCAAAATTGTCGAAAACTGGACACACTGTACAAACTTATCGAAAAATGTAATTCGAATTGTTTCGTGCCGCAACCTCCCATTTCTTAGAATTATTTATGTCTACTTGATTTCGAAGCATTGTATCACAAATCTTGGCCATCTTGCTTGACCTTAATCGTAGCAAACGTTGCGTGAATGCTTCCAGATCGACCAGCGAAACAACGCTACAATACCTTTATATGTTTTTTCTCCTACCAATTTCGAGCAAAGAGATACAGGGCCTACAGCTTTGAAAAGATTACAAAACGCGTTTTCTATTTTCTTTATGTCACAACCTTTCCATTTGTCGTCCAACGCGAAGCATCCGTTCTGGAGGACTGCGTTTATCACATTATGCCCGTTTCTTACAACATCCCATTTTCCATGTCCTTCTCGACAAAAATTTATTTTCTATAGGTTGACAAGATCGAGGCAAGACTATTTTCCGCGGAGTTCTTTCGTTTTGCGGAGCCCCCCTTTGTCCTCGGTTAATTCTTTTGCGGAACGGCAATGGGGGGCATTTCCTTATTTAACAAGTTACCATAATATGTAAAAATGCTTCGCTGGCATTCACTTATCCAAATTTCATAAAAAACGAAATTGAGTAATATATTATATTGGCAGTAATGTACACTGTGTCCCATTTTTGATGGTTTTGTTGCGTATTTCTCTTATATAATAAAATTAGTTTGTTGCAGCCTTCGTAGAGTGTTTTTTCATAAAGTGAAAAGTGCCACAAACAGAAATATATATAGCTGCCTTGGATTTTTAACTACACGTTAATTTTGGAAATTTTTATTAACCTCGGCTATACGTAAAACACATTTTGACATACAAATTAAACTTGTTTTTTTTAAATGTGTGTGTTTTAATAATTTTATTAGGCTTGTTATGAGCTTTCCAAAAATATTTAACAATATTTCAAATAAACAGCAGATATCTTAAATGTTATTTTTTTATGAGTAAGATATGGACAAAATATGTTCGTTTCCTTATATACCTTAGTTGTCATACAGTCATTTCGTAATTATTATTTTAATTTCTAGCTCCTTTTTACTGCTATGGCTCATGTTAATCCAAAATATGACAATTTTGAGAAATTGCCTATAATAATGCATCATCCATGCTCATTAAATATTGAACACACCAAAACTGATTTTGATCGGTTACTAAATAATAAATCCAATTTAATAGAGGGTGTCACGTTTAGACTATCGAATTTCGGAAATATATTAGATCGATAGACCGTCCTCGCGTATCTGAACAATTTTCATGCCATCCACCCGGAATCACCAAATCGTAATGAATGGAATTATCATTGTTTTTCGTTTGATGCGTAGTAGTTAATAGCTTGAGGTTGAATGCAAACTTTTTTAAAGTGTTTACGCTATATGCACTCATTTATAGCCACCTTTAAAAGCCCTAATTATAAATATGAAACTACAAACATTTACTATTTATTAAATTGTTTGATAATCGAAAAACGGTAGCAACTAATTATTGGAACAAGTGATTTGCAAGAAATTAAAATAAAACTTAACAAGATTGCTTTCGAAATATCGTCCCTGGGCGGGACATGTTTGTCGCAAATTGCGCGAATCAGCGTTTTATTTTAAAAAGAAAACGCTTGGCGGATTCTTGTCCTAGAGAGACGCATTGTTTTTCTATCGTATAAGGTGTCCTTCACCTCTCGTCGAACTTCAAAGTTGCGGCAAACTTCGGTAAATATTAAAATTTGTAATGGTAATCGCAATTCAAAAATCATCATTTTCAAATATCTCGCGTTCCCTGTATTGCAGACGAAACCTTAAACTTTCTTTCGACACAGTTTACGATACTGTTCGTATCAAATTATCACATCTTTAAAAGTTTTTCATTTATCGCCAATAATTCACCCAGAAAAACGGAAATTTCTAGGATATATTAGAATTTTTTGCCCATAAACGACGTACACTCTATGTAATTTCAACAATAACACTGTTTGAACGGATTAGCTTTTTTTGTACGAATTTTGATTTAAGGTTAATAATAAAAGAACAACTTTCAGGGTCTTTTAGATTTTTGTCCATAACTAAAACACCTTGTATATAATCGAAAAAATGCGTGAAACAAAAGTTATAGCGCCGGGTCTCCCACGTATTACGGTTGTAAAATTTTTCCGATCGGATGAATAGTTTTGGAGGAAAAGATATCTTTCTGGATGCCAAAATAACCAAAAAAAATACAAAATTAAAAAATATATACTTCGCGTTATTTTATTGCTCTCAATTTATCTAAATGCGGGTCCAGATTTCTATTTCTCTCCCAAGTCCGAAGTCGGTAGCTGCAAATTTGGGGAACTTATTATCTTTTTTTAATATTGTACGGAATATCGCAAACACCCTGTTGAATACTTAAAAACTTTAAATACAAAAGTTTTAGCTGTCTATATGGGCTATATAGCTTATACAAGCTTATTTATCTAGTGGAGGTTTAAAAAGGAGGCAAATTTCAATTTTGTAGCTCCAACCCAAAAGACGAGAACGGAGAACATTTTTCGCGTGAGGGAAATAAAGTTCAAAAATGTTTAATGGAAAACTAGTAACACCAATTTTTGATTTTGACTTAAATTTTAGGCAAATGTATGTAGTTTAAATTATTTCGATACTATGACTATAAAAGAAATAAATAAAGCCAGTATGACCACGTTGTTTTTATTGTTTCAATAATTTTTTTAGTAATTGCTTATTGTTTCCAATTTTCTGAGCCAAAAATTTAGAATACAAATTTAAGCAGGCGGGCGTGTTATGCTCACTCACTCCGTTGAAGCTTTTCCCGACAAGTTTCGCACTACAAAAAAAATATTACTTTTACATTCTTATTTAATCGGTAACAAAAATAGAAAATAGAATAGTGAGTCAACGACTGGCCCGTTTTTTTAAACGATGCCCACCCCAAATAAGGCAATCAAAAATTAGAAGGGAGAATAGTTTTTTATCATAGCGCGACATTTGGCGGAAGCGATGCTTTATCATTCTTCCTTTCATGTTAGACATATTACTCTCTCTCGTTTAAAATTTTTGTTCTCTATAACTGATCTTATTAAAAAATTATGCTTAAGTGAGCTGGAGTTCATTAATTACGTTTGAAGATTTAAAAGCAAGGGGCTTAAATTCTTTTTGAAGCTGCATTGAACTTAGCGGGAAGTGCTAACTGCGGGAAACTAGCGATTATCGGTTTTTGAGATTGCCTTTAGAGCGAAAAATTAACATTCTCTTTATAAAACAGCACTCCTTCGCAGTTGCCGTCTCGTAGATACTTCTAAATTTATTTGTTTGTTGATGTTTATTAAATAGTGTCGAGCTATCGAAAAATTATAGTTATAAAATGTGAAATCTTATGAAATGTACATTTCTGTAAAATTAAAAAGGCAAATCAAAATTAATCAATAGGATTGGTCACATTCTGGATTAAATTTTGTATGAATTGCGCAAACAATGCATTTTTCTACTCCCTTCGCTAGAATACCCAATTACACACAGATCTAGCGTGCGAAAAGTGCCATTTTAAGACATCAGTTTCGTTCCCTACAGGTTCGAGCCATTACCACACGCGTTTGGGAACAATCGGATGTTTTCGGAGATATTTCTCACTGCTTTAATTTTGACGTTCGTAAATTCTGACGCTGTGCTCTGCTCGTGCCAAATAAACTTGTGACTCAAATGTCTTTTACTACACGTTTTGCGTAATATACTATAGTAATACACACTTGCGTAATGTACTATAGTAATACAATAGTACATAATGCAACAAGTGTGGTAAATAGCGAGTTTATAATAAATGAGTGACTTAAAAAGTTTGTCAAATGTCAAATGTATGAAAAAAAAAGATACTACCATAATCAAGCTTAAACTGAAGTAGATTTTATTTTTTTTGCATTCCTAATTAAGAATCTAAGATTTCTGTACGCCAGTCTTACTATTTGAAACAAGTGTTTATTAACGCCTGATTTAATAAAAACTTCATTCAATTAATATTTATGGAAAAGTTTTTTCTAAATATATAAATTATATAGGGTTACCCTTTTGAACCATTAACATTTTACTGCAATATATTATATAATTTTCATTCTGAATTTTTCTGTTTGTTTTCATACAATCTGCAAACAGCAAAATATTTTCTTTAAATAATGAATTACAGAAAAAATAGTGTCCTCATTTTTAGTTGCACTATATTTTAAGTGAAACCATTTTATTTACTAGAATTTGTAATAAACGTGGTCACACTTAAATCAAAAATTAAACGACCACCGATATTTCGCAATACTTAAATTCTGAACTTGAATTTTCGACAGAGAAGATATACAAAACCAAAAATTCAGTAAAAATTTTTCTAAGGTGAGGATTGCTATAATTCAGTTCATGATTTTCAGTCTATCAACATTACAGTAATGTGGATATTGCTGCAGTTGGTGACTAATAACCAATTTACCTAATGGATTTCCATCCGTTTTTTTCCAAATTTTCTTTTGGACATGATACGCCCGACAACAAAATGCCGCTCCATTTTTTTTAATACGCATAAGATTAGAACGTGTCAGATGATGCATAAGATTTGTCTAATATCCCGTGGAATGAAAGAGAGAAGTAGAGAGAAAGCCTTTCACTCTCGTGTATGGTTCACGCCTTACCAGTTCCAGCCATATAAGAAGCTGAAGGTATACGTTCATCTTAACATTACCGTGTCGCAGTTTCAATAAGCAACAATATGAAAATGTTCGCTGTAAGTGTTAGTAATTTAGTGTAATGGTTTTTTGTGTGCGCTTTTGGATTGGGGATCGGCCGTTAACTAAGCATGCGGTGAAGTGAAAATTTTGGGGGAAATGTAACTGAATAAGTATCAAAGAAAAAAGTCATCACAAAAATTTTAATACAGAAAAAAGAGCTAGCGAGTGGGAACGACAAGAAGTTTTAATTTTCTTCTCAGGTGGTATTTGTGGTTGGTCTTATTTCGAGTTGTTTGGGTCTGAAGATTTTCAGATACCTCCAAATCATAATTTAATATTTAACTTAGAATTATTAACTGCAACAAGTAATTTTCAACTAACATATATATACTTGTTACTATTAACTCGTTAACATCACGTCTAGGAAATGCGGAAGTGGAATATTTTTTGGTACGGATATTTTGCTGCGATTTTGGGATAAATTCTTTTTAGATTTCACCGTAAATCGATTCGATTGCTAAAATAAATTTTGAATCGATCCCATTCAGGGCTGTTATAGAATTATTGTGGGTTGAGGTCATTATCCTGAATGAGCAGTGGACACGATATCAGATATACGATATTGGGTATAACCCAGGAAGTAGAACCTGGTGTTTGATTATTACAGCAAACAAGAAAGTATGTTATCCCGTATAAATAAATTGGGCAATTATTTTGATATCATTTACTTAAATTAAGAAAATTTTCTAAAATAATTACCAAAATATTTTTGATATTGCCGCTTTGGTAACTTTCAAAGCTATTAATGGAATGCGGTTGAATTTTTAGTATATATTTAGTCCAAAATGAGCGCCAGTGACTCCCAAACAGCCTGCTAATAAATTTCACAGAAAACAAAGCAGCCACAACAAATTTTCATATTGGCAAGGATCCAGAATTTGGACACTTTCTGCAAAGTTCAATACAAAAACTAAACGCTGCTTTTTATAAGGATCACATAATAAATAATTTCCATGAAAAATAAATATAAATTCGCATTTTATTGCGTGCTCCATGAAAACTTCGAACCGTTAACAACCCAAATTAACATCAAAATACTTCTTGTCGGAACCTTATTTAATAAATTGCTCACGTCCAACATAAACATTGTCACGGAACTTTAGGAAAAACATGAAAACCTATAGGAAAAAAGTTTTCTTTCGTGCAGCTCACTAACACAAAATATGATTTCTTCATTATAAATTATATACCGGGCTAGAAAATATGCAGTCATTAATCAACAAAAATAATACACTTTTCAGCTTCAGCTAGACTTTAGTCAGAAAATATCAATTTTAATATAGATTTCTATCCACTTAAATGCACATTTATTAATAATTAATAAGCTAATACATAACATTTAGCGAACATAAAAATTTTACAATATTAATTGCTAATGTCCGGGCTCTCCTAGTCCATTTTAGTGACTCTCTTATAATTCTGGAGTGACTATACCAGAACCCAATACAAATAGTGCCTACGGATATACTTACACATTCACACACATAACAGACTACCATCTTAAGGATTAATAGGTTATAGGACGTTTTAACAAGTCATTCAAACTGTTGCCAGTGGAGGGTAATTTCATTTACGGATCCCAAATCTCAATTTGATTAATTGACACGTTGGTTTGAAATTTGAAGAGTTCAATTTAAATGGGCAAATAAATAACAAACCAACAGCATACTAAAGCGTTTGTTAACCATGTATGTAATTAATTTGTCGATTGATCTATTGATTGATTCTTAACTGTAATGCGACTAAGATGGAGGATACCAGCAAAGCAAGAAAACAAATTTTAATTATGAGTTTTCTGTTCCTGTTCATTATCTTCGAATTGATTTAGTGTCCAAAATATTGTGAAAACACTTGTACCGCTTGCAATGTCAAATAGCTACATTTTTAACAGTCAGAGCACGCAGTGTTTTGGAAACTCTTTTTAGGCGACCCAAGCTGAAGTTCCAAAATTTTTTATAATACGTATAATAAGTGGATAATATGGAACTTCTTTGGTTATTCCCCTATTCTGGGTGGACTGCGCCTTCTATGGTATTTCACGATTACTTTTAGTAACTTTTTGTACTCCTAACTAAAACTTACCCAATTATGCAGAAAGTATTAATTTGAGACGTTACGTTGATTGCTCGAGCCATTTCGGATATTTCCGGTACTTTAGTCAAGAAGTCATAGTATTCTGACGTATGTCAGTCACACTTATGAAATGTATTCAAAAACTAATAGTCGTACAAAAAGAGTAGTATTCAACACGATAATAAACTTCTTCGGTACCTCGCTCCCCTGCGATGTGTTAGTGCCAAATCAAATTCCTGATTAAAATAGCGTTCATAAAACCTGTTGCATAATATACTATATTATTAAGTTGCTTGCAAATTTGTGTATTTTTGGACTCTATTGGTTGTTTCTCTGTATACAGAACAAACATTTATTAGTTTCGTTACGATGCCCCGTAATTTGCTGTGGAACGCCCATTTCTTACAAAACCATCCATAACAGATATAATTTATTAACCCTAGGTCTTAATTTCCTATCACGTATACAGCCCGAAAAACAATTTTGGTCCCAAAGAATATTGACCCCTAACGGTCTGTTGATCGAGTTAATGAACTTGTTCTCGTTCTGATCTGACTCACTCATTGAGTGCTTTTTTGTACCCGATTCCTTTCTCCTTCGTTCGAGTGTTTTTCACTTTCTCCACGAATGTTTCGCCATATTATTACTTAGCGATTGATTAATGTGCCATTTGCTAATAGTTACGACCATATTGTGCGAGACATATTTTTATCCGACTGAGAAACAGAATGAATGAACTTTGTATTTGGCAATGGTTTTGAAAGAGCTAGGAAATTATGTTATGAAAAGTAAATAAAACAATAAGTACAGAACGATTTTATTCTAAATAAGCGTTTCTTTCAATTTTTGTTGTCAGACAATCTTTATAAAAAACATTTGAGAATATTTTCAGTAATATTTAATATAAAAGGATGGAAATGTACGTATTGGTTATTAAGTCGATTTAATAAAAGCATTCCTTTTTGAATGGCAAATGCTTGCTTAGGTAGTGGTGGAAAATAAGTATAAAATTTTTAACGATGATTTGGATTTGAAACTACAACGGAATAATAATTTTGTACTTTTCAAATTATTTTCTTCAAAAGGAATACATTTTTGAGTTATCGAAATCTTGACCTCTACTACATTTTTAAAAAATCAAAGTTATTGTTACTAACTGAATCGAAAAACAGAATCATCTGGTTAATACATATGATTCATATATTTATTTTCCTTCTATAAACAACATTTATTTGTAAAATTCTTAAAAAAAAGTATATTATAAAGTCTTGGTGTTACTTTCATCTATATTTCTATTTTTGAAAAATTACAGTATTGAAATAATGATTTTACATTACATTTTTTAAAATATACATACAACATGCAAGAGTAATAAGGTAACTAAACTTCAAATATAAAAATCGTCCTGATAAACGTCATAGTTATTGCAAGATTTTGACGAATTCTGACGGAATCTCACTGGACTGAACTTATCATGAACTACAGAAACGATAGCGTGAAATTTTGTTTCCGGCGCATAAGGAATAGAAATTAATTTATAATAATATAACTTTCTCTCTCCCTTCTTGTGAGCAAAAAAACCTTGCACCGTTCGCGTATGGTACTTTCATAGATAGGAATCGATAAATGGAACGTAGTATTTTTGTTTTAAAGGAATTACGTAATTTATTGAAAAAATAAAAAAGTAGTTCGGTAAAAGTATTATAATAACCGAGAAATTAAAATAATAATTATTTATGTTTGGAAAGGCGTCAAGGCGAGCGGCTACTTTGAGAGATTCCAGATTATAACTACTTTCTCTCCCGTACTTGTTACCGATTTAATTATTTATAATTTTTGCTATATACAGAATTTATCTGCAACTATTTTCAATCTGATTAAATGAGTTTGGTCATGCTTCTAGTCGATTTAAGAGAGACATTTTTGGCTAGGTTATATTTAAGTCATATTTTGCTATAGAAATGACAAAATTAAAGAACGACTAAAAGTTTTTCTTTAACTTCAAAGGTTTTTTTTTAATTGTAGCTTAGACCTTCAGAAATATTGTTATGAAAAACTATTTTATTTAAGTGACCTGATTGATGTCGACTCGTACTTTGAACCAGACGATTAATTTGTGCATGATTAATGTTGGTCCACCTACTAATGTCATCCCATAAATATTCTATTTTGTCAATGTCTGGCAAACTTCGTTTGATATTAAATTTCGTATTTTATTTAAGAAGTGATATTAATAAAAAACAGAATGCTGAAAAAGATGGGGCCATTGATTTAGACGAATACCTAAAAGTTTCGATGGGAATTTCCACAAACATTGAATATAAAACTGTTTTTTTTAAACGCTCTGTATATGCCTCAAATTTAAATAAAAATATTTTTTGTATCATCGTTTCTGGAGATTTAAGATACAGTTAAGAGAATGTGTCCAAATCCATTCAACACTTCACGAGGAAATAAACTTTCAAACTGACCCAAATTTTAATTTTGGCACACGAAATATAAGTTAATAATAACTTATTGGAAATTTTGAAATTTATTTAGAGTGAACTAAACTTAATATTTTATGTTGATAATGTGTAATGCTTTGGTATTCCCTCAATAATACAAACTTAAAAATTGTATGCCTTAATTTAATATACATTTTGCAGTATTCAACCGTTGTCCTAGTCCTAGCACTGCATAGCGCCCATGGAGGACTCCTTGAAGACCATGGTGGCAACGATCTGTCTGGACATGAGGGAGGCGGTGGTTACGCCGAAGCTGAAGCCTATGAAGGAGGAGGAGGTATGACTATTCGAACAATTATTTCATAATTTCCACAATGTTGTAAAAAAGCAGATCAGCAGGACTGGCACATTTAATGAAATAAATAACTTAATTAAGATAGATAGAAATATAACACGCACCTTGTAAACATCATGCCGTCCTTAACTTAGGAACATAACGTGCATAAACCACGTTAAGTTTCTACTTCTATTTATTTTCTTGTAGTGCCTTGTGCCGTTTGCTTAAGATTAGCTAACTAGTCAAATGTTTATTTAATGCAGCCGGAAGAGGAAGTCTATTTCGAAGTAATTGCTAAGTTTTGAAATGCGCTTCCTTATTTTTGTTTACAATTTAATTTAAATTCAAGGGGAATAAACGCGAAAATTCTGGACGAGACTTGCTAGTACTAATTACCCACTCGTCGAGCATTTATTGCGCACTATAGAGCTGATCCGGGAATAACTAACTTGGTATAGACCAAAAAATTTTTTTTTCTGGAAACTAGAAGCAAGTGAATGTTTGTATGGATTGTCGACGATTTTTTTAACACAACATTAATTCAATTTGTGTCGTTTTGTGTGCATCAATTGCAATTGTCAACTTCAATCATTTTCCATGCGAATGATTAAAACCTGTCCCTCGTGTTGTTTAACTCTTTTATCCGTTTCTAAGCATTTCCCCGACGACGACTAAAACGATATATACTTTTCGAAAGAGGGAGATTAAATATAATTATTTGCCGAGTAACATTTTCTGAAAACATTTTCCCGTCGCTTCGCTCTCTCGCCCTACTGAAAATTAATGAATTTAGTAATTTTCTATAATTGAAATTTCTCGAATAAGTTTTTAAAGAGGAAAGTTCGACGAAAACCGTGAAGGCCATTTCCTTAAAATCACAATTTTACAAGCATTGAGATTTTTTTGGAGAAATTGGTTGTTTAACGCTCTTATTCAATACGTATCGTATAAATTATCGTGCGCGCAGATTTGCTCAGATTTGGGTAATAAATACAATAATAATTCACGCCTGTAAGTCAAAATTATTCTACCCAATGTGCTTCAAGAAATGTATTTCTCGCTACATTTTGGATATTTCAATTTGTTATTTTTGCACTTTGAATTAGTTAAGTTGGCAGAGCGCTTTGAAATCAAACTTATTACACTTAATTTCTAGACTATGGCGGTGGACATGGCTTGGAATCAGCAGGCGGTGACAGTGGATTAGGAAACGGTGGATGGCAACCCCTCCATACCGATGGCGGACACGAAGGTTTTGATCACCAGGAACCACAAGTTCACGTAGAACACCATCACATTCCTACCAAGGAAGTAGTGAAAGAGGAACACTATCCGGTTCACATTTTGAAGAAAATTAATGTACCGGTACCCCATCCCGTTGGAGTGCCACATCCCCAAGTTATTAAAGTCAATGTCCCGCAACCGTACGGAGTTCAAGTACCAGTTCCCCAACCTATTGCCGTACCCATTTATAAGTTAGTTCCTCACGAAATCGAGAAACGGGTACCGATAACCGTTGAGAAACTTGTGCCGGTTTATATACCCAAACCGGTCAAAATTGAAGTTGAAAAGCATCACGTAGAATACATTAAGAAGCCGTATCCAGTCCACGTCCCCGTCTACAAACATATCTATCACAAAGGCCACTAAGGAGTGCTACATGCGCTCATTCGTCATTATTCATCGTGTCGTGTATCATGTTTCATCTTTTTTTTGACTGCAGATTTAATGTAAATAATTTAATTACTTAGCTTTATAATTTCTTTTCGCCCCATTTCCCTGGATGTAGTTTTGCCTTGCGTCTGTGTTATTATTGTTGTACATACTTTGTTGATAGTTGTTTAGGATTTTTCATGTTTGTTAATAAACTGTTTCTAAATAAATTTGTTTTTAAGTGAACCTAGGAACGCTAAAAAACTGAAGCAAAATGACTTACTCCCATCAAGGTGAAACAAAAAATCGTTATGGAAATAGGTTCTAGTACTTAATAACAAATGATATAAACTTTAAACTTTGCTGTTTGTACTTATGTCGATATTTGAGTAATCGATAGGCGTGTCTTCTGTATTGCCGCATAATTTATGGATTGTGATTGGGATGGAAAGCAGTGGGATATGTTAAATGAGTCAAATGGATATTAATTTTGCGTCAAATAGTGAAATGATCTCTCACAATTTAATATTCAATACAAACGCCATTTTATTAACCGAAAATGTACGCTTATGCTGTTTGTTTTTATTAGGTTTAAAAAACTACTACGGGTCGAAGTGGTGGCCATTATTTTCAATTCATAGTCAAAGCCGATTTCTGAAATTTTTCGTCATTCGAGCAGTAATTTAAGGAGATACCTGTAATTTCTGCGAGTATTATTGCTTTCAATTCGTCAATCGTTTGGGACTGATATTGAAAAACCCTCGCTTTCAGGTAGGCTAAAAGGAAGAACGCGCATGAAGCAACATCAGGTGAATGCGCAGACCACTCAACATCTGCATATACCCAGATTACTTGGAAACCATTCCCTTGAAAGATCCACGAGTCATAGCTCTGTTGGAATCACACAACCGGGTCAAGTTATCCAAGTTTTGGTTTCTAAAACATCAGTTAGCATGTCGACATATCGATCGGCATTTACGGTAACCGTCAAGCCTCTCTCTTAAAAAAAAAATAGTTATCTCAAACAATAAAAGATCCGACAGCACCCCAAAGAGCAAGTGGGCTGTAAAGTGCGCTTTCATATAGCACTCTAGGATTCTCTGGTGCCCAGTAGCGAGAATTCTGCTTGTTCACACACATCCAGACAAATGGAAATAAGCTTCGTCACTAGTTATTAAAAGAGCATTTTGTGGGACGTTTTGTAGAATATTGGACAAATGTGGAAGATTTTTCTGTGTAAAAACGTTTTTTACCCCCGTCTGTAAAATACCTAATTACACACCGATCTAGGGTGCGGAAAGAGTCACTTTACCAACTCATTTCGTTTCCCACGGATCTGAGCCAATTCGGACAGTTCCAGGATTTTACCTCACGGGTTTGGAAGCAATCGGATGTTTTAGGAGATATTTTACACGGCTGTACCCAATTGCTAACGGTCGTAGAACTAGTATAGTATGCAGCAGGACTGGTAATCTTACTTGTTCCATGACTGTAGAAAATAACAATCAAAATGTGATGTTCGTGCGAAGTTTTTTTACGTCAATATAGGTAAGCGCTCTTAGACACTTTCCATAGCGGTCGTTGCACAGTAACAAGTTTTCGACGCGACACTTTATTCACGAGTTTATTTAGGCAAGAGAATTTAATAACTTTAGAAATTTATTATGTACAATATTTTTTCTACGACTGCTACGAAGCAACACAAGTAGATCATTACACCACTAAGTGGCGTGATGAACACAGAACAAACACATTTAGCTAATAAGTCCAGTGATAAAAAGTATTTCTCTGCAAATTATGGTATTATGGCATGTTTAGATAATTTTTATGTTTTTTAAAATGATGTTTGGTCATTTTACAAATGGAAAACTAATTTACAAAAATATTATTTATTATTTTCAGTATTTTGTAACATCTAAGACGATCTGGCATCTTCTATGCATAGAATCAACCAATTTTTGTAGTGTCTGCAGAAATTTGCGATAAGATAACAAATGAGACCTAGAAGTTAACAGCCAACATGGCCGCTGACAATTAGACGAAAATATCAGCTCGCCCACCCTATTATCTAAGAGAGAACACATACAGAAACATCAGAACTGACACATGTCAAATTACTATCAGTATTTTAAAATCTATCGTAAACATCCGATCGCTCCCAACCCGTGACTAAAGACAATGATTAATGAATGTGGTGTTTTACACCTTGCACACTCCAGGAGTAGAAAAACATCAGTACTAACCCTTGATCTGTTATTCTATAAGAAATCTTAAACCGTTATAAGCGATTGCCGTATGTGAACCAGAAACCTCTTAAAAACAAATAATAGCAACTTATAAATGCTTAGTTGCTAAAATTGTAGTTATTCTAGCGAAATTGGAATCCTAGGCTTTAATGTGGCATCGTTTCCACGAAATCAAAACAAAATTTATTATTCAAATTGTAATATTAATGAATTTATCAAACCATCAACAATTTTGAATATAGTGTTTAAAAAATAAATTTTGTTTTCTACAACGAATACCGGCACCATACGAAAAATTTATTTATGATTAACTTTAGCAAAAATGCTATTCCTAGTCTATTCAAAGTTTTGCGGATCCTACAAAGTCTAAAACTGCATGAATATTACATATGTAATGTACAGGTTCATAAATAAATAAAAAAAAACTAAATAACCTGCAAAAATGTATTTACAAAAATTTGCTTAAAATACATTTTTAGGGAGGGAAATGTGAAGAATCCTTGTGAATAAATAATCAAAAACTTCGTAAAAATCTACGAAACAAGAGATCGATATTGACAATATGAGAATTATAACGACTTTAACACACTTTACGTATTCGGAGATGTTTCCAAGAGGTTTAGAGCCTCGAGGCAAAACTTTTCTTCGGCCATTTTAGGTTATTTTAAGAGGTTCGTAACTACACTATTGTTTAAAATTGTTGATGAAAATTTGATAACTTCACAGGAGCATACAGACTTACTCACCTAGCAAAAATAAATCAAATCAAAAGTTATACGAAATAATGAGTGTATAACTTTAACTTGTCAAGATCGAAGAAAAAAACTAGATATCAAAATATATGTATATTGCAATATGTAATCGTCGCATATATTCTGGCACGACTAAATAAACGAAAGAAAATGAATGGGTTTAAAAGTATTATTGACTTAACTGCTTGAAGTTCATTACAAAATATGTTATAATTTGCGAACTTTTTCACCAGCTATGAAACAACAAACATGTCAAACTTTGGCAGGCGTTTACACGTTTTCATTGATACTCCATACCCAACTTGACGTAGATCGGAAGTATCATATTTTTAACTAACTTAAGGGGTTTCTGCGTAGATAACTGACGTTTACAAGCGAGCGATATTCGGGTGTAAAAGTTTCCGACGGAATGTTTTCAATTTTTTTCAGATGGAAAAGGAAAAGAAGAAAAATTATATTTGCCGAAAACCGGAGAAACTCGGCATTCCTATTATACGATGACCACCGGCCTCCCAACACGGCCTCGTAAATTCCCAATTGAAAGAAAAAAAGGCTCCTATTACCTTAAATTATTGAGACCGAAAAGTTTTGCGAAAACGAAATTGTGAAACGCGTCACCTATACCGAAAAGTTCTTTATGCGGGAGCGTGTCACCTTCGCTTCCTGTTATTCGATTTAGAATTGCCAGCTAAAAATACCATAACAAAAAACACAAAAGATGAATATTATTACATGATCCTTAAGTTGTTTGTTTACGGGACGTGTTGGGAAATATGTCAACAAAATTCTTAGTTACCAAATTTTTAAAAATATAGCAGAAGCTTTTCTGCTGACTTTTAAAGACACCCACGCTCGAGAAATGGGATTTAAGAAACCTTAAACAGCAAAAAGAGGCGTTGCAACTCAGAGTGACGCGAGCTATGTAGGTCGACTTGGGAGTAAAGTGACAACTAATGCGTCAGATCTATCTGCGTCGGTTGTTGATAAATCGAACTTGATGACGTTTCGCCAATCTGGCTTCTTCAGAGCTTAACTTAACAGTTTCAGTTAAGTTAGGCAGCAACTAGGCAAGACAAATAAGACCGTTTTTATAAGATATCAGACAAATCAATTATAGCAAAAAGAGAAATAAACATTTCTTTACATTTGTTAAAAGTGGCGTCTCCTAATGAATAGAAATTAAAGAAGCTCTAGCTTACTTTAAGCATTAAAATTGAGCATGTAGTACACCCTGTGGCACAGAAAGGGTGCTAGATTTAGTATTGTTGTAAAAAACCTGTTTAAATTAAGAGCTGACCTATCTTGAAAACCAAAAAAAAGAACTGTCGACAAAGAATTTCAGTATCAACAGCATGAAAATTTCTGCTGTAATCTAGCAAAATAACACAAGGTAATTTATTTCGATCAATTGTATGGCCTTTTGGCAAGGAGGAGCTTTTGAAATTCCTAGATCATCTGAATTCCATTCACCCAAGAATTTAATTTACAATAGAACTTGAAGAGGATAACAGTCTGCCCTTTTTAGATGTGCACATCACAAGGACCGAAGATGGACACTTGGAACACACTGTCTATAGAAAACCAACACACACTAATAGATATCTGAACCCATCACAGATACAGGCAGTGGCAAATACATTAATTGCTCGGTCCTTCAGGCTCACAAACGAGAGAAACAGACATAAAGAACTGAAGAAAATTAGTACCTGTCTTCGACAAAACGGATACCAAAGGCGCACCATCAGCAAGGCAATCAGTAAACAATAGCAGCCGCAGCAGAGAGTGCAGGACGAGACCCAACGAAGATCGATCGCTGACCTGCCATACATCAAGGGGGTTACTGACAAAATCGGCCCAATATTACGGAAACACGACATATCAACGGCATACAAACCTGACCATACCATCGGAGCAATACTAAGAAACCCAAAACAAAAAAATTACTCTGAAAAACCAAGGAGTATACAGTGTAGCATGTGGATCGTGCAGCCTGACATATGTGGGACAGACCAACAGAAGGATTTCAGCCAGGCTCGAGGAACATCGTTTAGCCATAAGAAACAAACAAACAACATCTGCTTTGTTTCAGCACCACCATCAGACAGGCCATAAAATTGATTTCGGTACTTGCAAACAAATAGCTAATATTCCTGATTTTAGGA